ACACGTTCTTAGGTAAAGAATGGTAGAGTAACCCTCTAATCTAGCACATGCTCATAGCAACCTCTTTTTGAGATGCTGTTGAAGCCTAAGCTCCTGATGTGGGTTCAGGCCCCACACCTCCAGCTCAGTTCTCATCTGAGCCGGATTGCATGAGAAACTGGAATCACAACAGACAGTGTGATTTATATCTCCAGCCCATGAAACTTGAAGACAAAGTACTGTATTAATACTGTACCCTGTAAATCTTTTCTCGCATTAGCAGCCTTCTGGTAAAGTTTGCCAAGGAAGCATTGCCATATGTGCTGATGAAGCCAAACTAAAAAGAGAAGATTAGAAAACTAACCACACTAATAAATCTCATTTGAGCAGTTGGAAAATGGACTGTTGTTTTGACAAGTCAGAAACAACACACCAGTCCAATCTCTATTTCAAATGGTTAAAATGAATTTCCAGGTCCCAACAGAAGCATCTTATATTAGAAACCTGATTTTTCTGCAGTTACCCAGATGTTAAGCATATATACACTTGACTTTAAGTGTGACTGTGATGAAGTGCCTTAACTGCAGTGGTGGTTTTAGACCTTACTATTGAGCTGTGTTACCCTCCTCTCCACTACCACTCCGAGGCCCAGGTAGAAGGGGGGTTATTGGAATTCCCACCTCTGCAACTTTTTACTGTCCCACTGATCATGATGTCTTCTGAAAAACCTTTACCTAAGACTGAATATGTCAAGGCCACATCTGTAGTGGGCTTCAAATTATAACACACAGCTACCTGTGTTTTCCTAGTTACCCATAAATAAAATAAGAACAACTTCTTATTCTATTCTCTGATTTCTAACATCCGGCCCAGGTCTTAGGAACGGAACTGTACTTTGGTTTTATTCTTACTGAGTAGAAGTTCTTCATTTAATATAAGGAAACCCTTGCCCTCTAGTTATGTTATTTACCTAATTTTTCTTTCTGCCTCTACTCTCTGTTCTTACCAAGTGCCTTTCTTCTGCCTCCAGAATTTTTTACATTTTTAACCTTTTTACTTTAAAAGTTATCTCATATCTCTACAGAATTTGGTATATACTCCTTAGTATGGCTTGAGTGAGAGAAAAGCAGTGTAGTATACAGGTGAGTACAGATGCCAGAGCCAGATTGCCTGAGTTGAACCCTGCTACTCACCTAACCATCAAATGATTATGGGCAGCTTCTTTGAAGTTGGCCTGTTTCTTCATTGGTTGATGGAGATAAAAATAGAGTGTACTGAGTGAAGTTGTCATATGGATTAAATGCATTAAACGCATTAATTCGCATAAAGCTCATAGAAGTAGTACCTGGTATGTAGTAAACACCCCAAATAACACCGTTATTGTGTGTTAGATTTGTGGTTCAGCCACTGCCTCCAGTGAGCTTTCTTGACTCCGAATCATGATGTTGAGATTTTCTTGACTCCGTATCATGATGTTGAGATTTTGGTGCCTTTGCATACACTATTCCCTCAGCCTGGAACACCTGCCCTCTTTACTCATATCTCTTCCATGGAAACCTCTGCTGACTCTTAAGGCCTCAGGGCAAATAGCTCCTATTCTTTGATGCTTTTCTCCCACCTGCAGCAGAAGAACTGGTTCTTTCCACTGTTCTTCTAGTATGTTGATACTCCTTGGCTCTGGTACTCACCAAACTGTTTTCAGGTGTTTTATCTCCTTGCAGGTACCAGGAGACAGCTAGGTTTCTTTCCCTTTATACTGAGAATATTCTTAGAAGGAGGCACCAATGTAATTGTGTATCCCTCCCTCCCCCCCTTTTTTTTTCCAAATACCAGTCACACACATAGAAACCATTTGGTAAGTCTTTGCTCCATGAATAAATATTCGTTGCTCTCTTTTTAGTCTTAAAAATACCTAAACAGGGTTTTCTCTTCTTTTTTTTTTTTTCTGTTCACAATGCATCACGAAGTTTATAGTGAAGACAAATTTCAGTTAGCTACAGGCTGGCTGAAGTGATTGTATTTAATGCTGGAGTCATTTGGCTCTATGTGCTGTTTTTTTATTAGTCATTTAAAAGACTGTCACAGGGTAGTTATGGAGAGAAGAGATCATCGTTTAAATCACAGTGCTTTCATCCTTTCAGTTTTAGTCTACAATTTTGTGATGAGAAAAATACATCTAGCAAGTAAATATTTAAACACTTTGGTTTTTGACCTGAGTATAGAGATTAAAGTAGAGATTTTAGATATTAAGATGTAGTTTACACAGCTTTTGCCCACATTTTCTTAGTAGAAATTATTGTTGTATTTTCAGTGGGTAATAACTAAGCCCTTTTCTCATTGTAGATAATTCTTAAAAGGCTGATAAGTTAGTGCATTTTAGGAGGTCAGAATGTTTGCTTTACCCTATTCCCTCATTCTCTCATGTGGTGCTGTGGCTCACTTAGATTACTAAGAGCACTCACACACACCCTCCAGGTAGCAAGTCCATAGGGAGGCTTTTGGTAAGAGTGTATGCAAGAGAGAAAGAAAGCAGAAATCTTATGGGGATCCAAGGTCAATAGTTACCCTAAAGCCTGGCCTCAGTGGGGCCAGAATCTGGTCAAGATGGCTTTGTGCCTTTCATGGGTTATTTCTTGACATTTTCTCTCTTTGGTGTTCCCATTCTTTATGCTCCATATTCTCTTCCCTCTTTCAACCTACTTCCTTTTCTTATTCATGGTTTCTGTCTCCTTATGACATTAGCACATGCATGGCTTCCAGCTGGCTGGTTTTCCTGCTCCACCCATGACATGTTTTCATTGTGCCTGTGTTAACTGGCTTCATCCCCTCCAAGGGCTCTCACTCATGCTTCTGGAGAGGGATCCTGATTGGCGAGTTCTACTTTGGGTTCCTGGCTATAGGACTCAGTTTGCTAAGGTATTGGCTACATAACTTTCCAGTGTCTTCACATTGTCCAATCAGTGATAACTCCAGGGACAAAGTGGGCGTTGAAAATACAGTCACATAGAGGATGAGGTTGCAAACTTAAATGTTTGTAAATCCAGGCAGGTTGTCTGAGTGAATAATTGAGACTGGGTAGGAAATGCATATTAATCATATGATATAGTTGAATGGTGACCAAGGGTATTAACTCTTGAATAGAAGGAGGACTTAGGTTTGGAATCCTGGTCTGGCCATTTATCAACTGAGTAACTTAGAACAAATTACTTAATCTCTGTTCCTTACTTTTCCTTTTTAGGGTGGATCTGGGGATAACATGAGTTAACAAAATACTTAAAGTTGTACTTAGCAAATAATAAGCATTATGTAGCTGTTTTTAAATTTTCACTAGCATAGTATCTTATTATCATTTAAATTTTCACTAGCATAGTATCTTATTATCATTTAGTTGCACAGTAAAACGGACTTTCGTTAGTTTCCCTAAAACATAGAGCTGTCTTGGTCTATTTTGTTTCCCCCTTTTGTATAGCTAGGAGTAAAAAGAAATACTTATCTATTAATGAGGGTATCAACAGAGCAATGAAAATGAAAAATGGAATTTGTCCTCACTGAGGTGTTAGCATTAGGGCAGGGTGGAGACATTAGATAAACAAATCTTGTCTAAAGACAGAGCCTCACCCTACCTGGAGCAGATTACTGTGATGTCATAAAGAAGCCCAGGGCTGTCCATCTGTCTGTCTCTGCAAGGAGCTTAGATTATGATTGAGAGCTAGTGCTACCAACCAAACATACCTATGGGTTGGAGACATATAGCCCTTGAGCTACTGATCTCTGGCCTCAGACTGCTCATGCCTCAGGAGATGCTATAAGTGGACCTTGTGTAGATGAATTAGAAGTTGCAATGCTGACAAAGGATAGCACCATGAAGCCCTTCTTAAGCATAACGGGATGGCACAGGCTATGATGTATTCCTATCCTCAGTGTTAGCCAGCTCAGTGTGTGTTTACAAGAAAAACCATTTGACTTTGATTTTCATTTATTTCTTTATCTGACAGAACATATGAAAATAGCATTTTCAGCTCAGATATATAGACCACTGCTGTTTTAAATACGTTTCCTGTCAAAGGCCACTCTTCCCCTTTGTCTTATGTCTCTTACTTGACTCCCACTCAGCAGAAAGTGTTCACAACAGAGCTCTCCATGTGTCATCCCAAACCTGTTACTTTCCATAGGCTTTCTCAGCTCTACCCAGTTTATGCAAAAACTGAGCAGACTCAATTTGCCCCATCGTTCTCTTCCTCAGTCTCCCCTCCTGAAACACACGTACGTACACACTGTCAATATGTCCTGTCTCTTTCTCACACAGCAGCTGGAGTAGCTTCTTAAAAAATATGAATTAGTCTATCACATCCCTGCTTAAAATCCTCTACTTACTCAGGATCCTGGCCTGTGAGGGCTATATCTGGCACCTGCCCACATGGGCATTTCTCCCTATACTGCCTCTGAGTGTGTCAAGCTGATGTTCTCTCTCATTCTTGAGCACCCCAGGCTTGTTTCTCCTCTGCTTTCTTTGCGTTGTTTGTTCCCCTTCTCATAATGCATCTTTCTCCCATTGTCACTTCCCCAGAAATGTCTTTCCCTTCATCTGAGGTGTGTAAGAGCATGATCTTACTTGTCTGGTACTCATTGCCAACTCATAGTCATTCAATGAATGAGTACCTGAGCTATGGGTATTTGGGGGGAGGTGAGAAAGGTGTTAGAAATAAAGTCTACTGATCTAGGAGGCGGGAGAAAGGAACAAACTTTCCCGGAATAATGTGATTTCCTATATCACTAATGCTGTTGATTTACCCAATGTGCAAATGATCGAGGATATGAAAGGGAATTTACTTGGGGCTGATGTGGCTGTTAGAAGTTAGTGCTTCAACATTCCATTTCAAGTATTCTCATTAAAGGTAATAGCAGAAAATTGCAGCAAAGATTGCCCCATTTTTTAAGTGGTGATCCCCTCTGCAGAGCTGTTGATTTGTTTAGTTAATGCTAATTTATTTAATATACTTCTGCTTCTTGTTGATTTTTAGGTTTGCTGCCACAGTTATTGGGAGTCGCCCCAGAGAAGGCCATAAAACTTACAGTAAGTCTTTTGAATTGGTGCTTCTTGCTAAGGGAATTTGTACACTCTGAAGGATCTACCAGGTATTCTTCTGTGAATCAGCATGTCTGTGGCTCCTCAGAGGTGCTAACTGATTTGAAGGTTGAGCACTCACCACACACAACTTTTTGTTATTCCCCATTCAACGCTGAACCTCCAAAAATGTGATAATGAATTTAGAGAAGATTGTTGATGGTTGCTGCCATCATCTTTTCATCATCACAGCAGCAGTGAAATCTCCTTCATTTCCTCCCACATTAAGCACCTGACATGTAATCTTATTGTTTTAATCTCAAGTGAAGTGTGATCCACCATGTACAGAGAAGGAAAGTGAGGCCCACAGGGTTTAAGCAGCCTACCTGTGGTCACATAATTCACAAGCAAGAGAAACAGAATTGTAAGTCATATTTTCTGACTTGAAAGCATGTACTCTTTCAGTTACACCTGCTGTTTATGAAATGTGTGTTTAGAGTGTGTTGCACAAGTGTATGCCAAAGCCAGATATTGGGGACTCTGTGTTTCAGTTGAGGTTGACCCATCATCAGACTGTTTGCCCGGTGCCTGGCTTATGTTGACAGGTGGTTGGTACTCAGTTCAAGTGTTTGTGGAATGGATAGATACTGCATGTGAATCAATAAGGCCTCAAAGCCCCAGAAAGTTAAACTCTAGTTTTAGATTAGGCTGTGTAGTCTAGGTTCCTGAAATGTCTCTTACACCATTTTATGCTGTGACCTTGAGTAGCTAATCTTCTCTAGCCTGTATCTGTCAAGGACATATAATTGTTTCTTAGAATTGCTGTAGTACATATCATTTTGAGAATACTGTACTTAATTAATTAATGCAATTGATATTCTTTGAGAATCCTTCAGGAGACTTTAGATACTGAATTTCTACTAAGCTGAAAAATTGGTGAAAATTGGTCTCGGTGAGAGCTCTGTTTTAGATTAAATCTTGCTAGCAAACTTGAAAATGCTTTTTAATCACACCCCATAAGACCATTTTTAAATTATAAAGTGTATATTTTATTTTGTCTGAATTAGCCCTATGTCTCCCTTTTCATGCTATTGTAATTGTAGAACATGTTTTAGTTTTTGGCTTATAAACCATTTGTCTTTCAATTTTTTTCCCTGTAACATCAGGGATGCATGTATAGTTTATCTTTTAAAAGCTGCATGTATGCTATTGAGAGTATTTTCTCACTATTTTAAGATCTGTTAATTTGTGCAACAGACTGACAAAAAATAACATGTATCAACAAATGCACATTTATATGTGTTTAATGACTTTCTTTATATTTTTCATCAGCTTCTATAAATATTTTTCTTCAAGGTGAATGATTTTGTGAGGGATAAGTTTATGCACAAAGACGGTTCGGTCCCACTTGCAGCAGAAATTCTTGCTGGAGGCTGTGTAAGTACCTTTTGTAGATCTATATGTTGGAAAACTTGTCTCACACTCGCATCACTGCCCTGGTCAGCAAGTGTGGACTAAGGCTTCTATTTAACCACAGATCCTGTACCATGGCAGAGTTTCCTAGACAGGCGGCCATTCCTGAGGTGAAGGGTAAATGTTTCTGATCTTACTGCCTGTTAAGTCATGCCTGGTAAATTCATCATTGCTTGCGGTTGGGTCTACAGTAGAAGTCATTTGAGGCAGAAGTGTTTGGCCTTTGAAAAATCTTTACTAACCCTTTCTAAAGTTAATTTGCAGTACATTCTTTCCTCATGGCACCCTCTGCTGGGTTAGGAACTATAATTTGTAGCTTGAAGTCAACAGCCATAGTGCCCTGCTTTGCTTTTCCATACAAGTGGAAGCAACCATTCCAGCTTCTAGTGCTTCTGGGAAAAGATGGTAGGAAGCAGCTGGCTGAGGGGCTCTGCATTGTCAAAATGTGTGGAGTGATTGCTTATGGATATAGCTGAACAAACCACATCTTGCTCTGAATCTCAGCAAAACATTGTGTCTCACTCTATCTTCATGTATGGATTTGTCCATGTGAATGCAAATACTTCAAGTAAATTAACTCATACAAAGACCAGTGCTATTTAAAGATAAGGTTGGGTAAATAAACAGGCTTTGATCACTGGAGCAATAGAATCTTGGTATATTTTCCATTTACCCTTATATATCTCATAAGAAAGATGAGGTCACTTTTATTTTCTTTCTTTCTTTTTCTTTCTTAATTGGCCTGTTCTGGGAAGGAAATGTTTTTCACAAAACATTTTTGTTTTAATCATTTAGTTTGGAAGTTGAACAGATACCTGAGAATATTAAATGCTTGTGTGAAAAGGGTTTATTGTCCTGTCTAACATTGAATGGTGGCTCCTTGAAGGAAAAGGAGCAAAGGAGTGCTAGCTCCTGGTAATTTTTAAGAGGTGGATGGAATTTGGCTACTGCCTACTTTCTGTTTGATCACTGACCTGTCAGAGATGGCCAGGTAGGATCCCCTTGTTCTGTAACTTTAGGAGCATTCAGGATAGAAAAAGAGAGCCTTTAATGTCCTCAATAAAAGGGGCATACAATAATAATCACACAGAATAGCAGGAGTTGAAGAAACCACTCTCCCTCATAAGTGCTCCATATTTCAAACAACCGTACAGTTTCCATTTGAATAACTAGATTTTCCAATTTATAAATAGGTGTTTCCATAGGTCAAATCTGGACCAGTCCTTCAGGCTGTTCAAGTGATATGAAGTAGCAGAGATTCAGGTGGAAGTGTTTTGTTTTTTTTTTGTTTTTAAGTTAGACTTTTAGACCTGCTACGAAGACATGATTGTAGACCTCTTTAAGAAATTAAATGTAAAGTTAATTTTGTGATGCTACTCAAGATTCTGGCAGTCATCGTGGCATGGTGCCTGGAGGTATATTTTCTTCTTACTGAAAGCATTGTACCTACACATGCATCAGGTGCCAAGGAGATGGGCTGTGGCACGTATTGAGGTGCCCTCTGTAGGTGGTCTTGTCTTCAAATGCAGAGTGCAGATTGGCGTCAGAAGTGGTGCCTAGTTATTGTAAAGAGGTGCAGCACTTTTTGAAACCTGCTCCAAACACAGGCTTAAAATTGGAGCCACTAGGCATTACAGCTGCTTAAAATATCTGTAAAATGAGGTTTGCCACCCTTCATCTCAAAGGTGGGTAGACAGTAGTCCTTAGCGTTTCAAGTCTCCTTTTTTTGCTGCCTCCTTCTCCCAACCATTGTTTTAAGAAGTAAGAGTTTACTTTTAGGTAAGCAGGCCTGTAGGGAGCAGACTACTCAGGCATCTTTAGATCTTTCAATAGAAGGGTAGAAGATTCCATCTTCAGAGTATGTATAGCAGCAACCGCAGCAGCATCTCTCCTAGAGGCCAGGCTTTGGCAATGTTTTCTCCTAAGCAGAACCAGTGTCAGTTCTACAGCCTGGTCTGTCCGATTGGAAATACAAAGGGTTTTGTGCATCTGTGTCACAGGAGCAGTTCCCTGCCTTAGGTCAGCCAAGCATTGCTAGGTGTTGACTTTTAAGTCCCTGGGGAGCTTATCTTTCTTCATTATTACCGAGAGTTAGTACACATGGCTGACTTTTGCACTCATAACCAAAGCTGTTCATTTCTTTGAACAAGGCCTTTTCTGTTTTTGTAATCCAATTTCTATAAAAAATGGAAAATATGCAGGGAGCTCATTGTCTTGTGACCTCATAACTTCACAGTCCTTAGCCAAATGGTCTGTTTTATTTATTTATTTTTTTAGAAAACTAGAAGTGATAGTATATTTGGAGGAAAAGTCATTGGCACTTAAATGTAGTAATGGAGTAAATTTTAACCCATTCCTTGTTATTTTTCATATAATAATACCTGACACATATAAGCTCATTTTTCACATTGAGATTGGTTTTCACTTAGAGCCCTGGCTAGAATTTGACTTAAGTTTTCCTTGCATTTTTAGAGACTCACACTTAATAGTAGTGATCTATTCAGCATAATTCAAGCCTGACCTAGATGCTCTGATTGGGGTGTGTAAACCCTCAGTCTGCAAGAGTTCCTGTGGTTGCATTTTCTCTCAGGGAGGAAGCTCAGCATTTTGCAGTTACAGGAGTTCTGACAGAGACCTGGGCCCTCAGGCTTCCCTGTGCAAAACATATACACCTTCTCTTTCTTTCCCCCTTCTCCTTCTTGGGTCAGAAGCTCAGCCCCTGTAAGAAGTTGTGATTGACAGTCTTTTAATGACAGTAGAATGTCTCAGCAAACATGACAGAGGACAGAGAGGACCCATTGTTCATTCCCAGTTAGGTTCCTAATGACTTTAAAAACTGATATACAGTCTCGGAGTATGTTATTGCTTTCTTACTGCTACCTTTAAAAAATGCCAAACCGTGTATAATGCCATATAATCTTTAGGTTAAAGTCCTCTCATCTTCCATGTACCTAGTGGAATAGAGGGTTAAACCCTGGGGGAAGGGGGCTTTGGGGATTTTGGGGATAAGAACCAAGTAAGAAAAGACAAGTAGTGCCATTATTTAAGAAAGGTGTACAAATATGATGGTTAACTTGCCTGGTATGAAAATAAATCTAATATTCATCAGGAAAGGTATGTTGACAATGTATGAATCTCTGTCTTGTAAAGCTCATCATATTTAGTAAAAATTCTTTAAATGCCAGTAGAAGATAGAGTTCTGTAATAATTTTTGGAAAAACAACTGAGCATGCATTTGAACTACATTCCTCTTTGATAATGTGTTCCTGTACTTTTCCATGTAATGCACGTGCTCGTATGTGTGTGTGACTAGATCTGTTGTTCCTGGGAGTTTATATTCATTTTGAGTGGGAAAACTCATTGATGTGCTCATGTCACTAGTTCTGAAAGGAGTTGGTAAGACTGTCACCATGAGGCCAGACACTGTGGCTTACATCTATCTAATCCCAGCTACTCAGGTGGAGTTCAAGAGGATCCAGATTTGCAGCCAGCCCGGGAAAAGTTAGTGAGATTCCTCCCATCTCAATCAGTAAGTCAGGTATGCTGGCCATAGGTAGGAGGTTTGAAGTCTGAAGATGGCACTGGGTAAAAACACGAGACCCTGTGGAAAAAATAACTAAAGCATAATAGGACTTGAGGTATATGGCTCAAGAGGTAGAGCATGGGCTTAGCAAGTTTAAGACCCTGAGTTCAAACCTCAGTACCACCAAAGAATACTACTACTAATAATAGCGATGGTGGTAATGTCACCATTGGGAAGCATACAATGAATTGCTCCCCCTGAAAATAGGTAGGACCCTGCTGCTGTCATCTGCCTGTGTGTTGCCTGCCATGCTCATTCCCGTGTACAAGAAATGCTTTTTTTTCCTTTCTTTGGTGGTACTGGGACTTGACATCAAGGGCCTTGAACTTGCTAAGTGGCCCTCTATCACTTGAGCCACACCTTCAGCCCTTATTTTACTTTAGTTATTTTTTTAATAGGGTCTCTTGTTTTTGTGAGGACTGGCGTTTAACCATTCTCCTCCTACCTGTGGGCTCCTGCATAGCTGGGATCAGGCAGGCACCACCACGCCTGGCTTATTGATTGAAATGAGATCTGTTTAACTTTTTGCCCAGGCTGGCCTTGAACCTCGGACCTCCTCATCTCTGCCTCCTAAGTACCTAGGATTATGCATGAACCACCATACCCTGCCTGTTTGTATAGTTGTGCATCAGATGTCTTTTTTTTTAACATTTTTGTTTTGGTCATAGCAAGACCAGTCTTGCTATGCAGCCCAAGCTGGCCTAGAACTCACTGTGTAGCCAAGAATGGCCTTAAACATATGACCCCCTCCATCATTCTCCTTTATCCCCATCCCCCCATTCCTGGAATAGTTTCAACTGGCCTCATTTTTCCATTTACATACATGAGTACATATTTCCACCACATCACCCTTCTTCATGCCTTCTTCATATTCTCCTCCCTCCCACTGAAACAAACCCCCAGACAAGACCTGTTTTACCTTCCTGTTCTGTTTTTGAAAAAAGACATTATTGTTTGTTTAACATAGCTGTATGGGGAGTTTCATTAGGATCTTTTTATTCATTACATAGCCTAAGAACCTTAGTAGTACATGATAACCAGCAGTTTCTTTGTAAATATTTGTTAAATTAAATAATTTTAAAGTCAAAACAGCTTTGTTAAATCCTCAGTTTGTCAGTGACAGCTTTGGTAATGGGCTTATTTATCTTTTCTTTTATGTTGGTTATACCCCTTCCCATCCTTAATAAAATTTATCACCTTTATCTCCAAGCCATACTTACCATGATTCCCAAATCACGTAGCGTAGAAAGCATACAGATGGTTATCATTTTACAAAAATAAAGGTGTTCTTTTTTTCTTTTTTGGTGGGACTAGGGTTTGACTCAGGACGTCACAATTGCAAAGCAGGTGCTCTACCTCTTGAGCACCTGCAGTCCGTTTT